GATACCATTTTATCACACTCAAACATTGATCTAAAATAGAAAAGACAAAGAGAATTTAATATCCCAACGATGCAAATGGATTAAAAATATCAAGATAAAAATATTGTCTCCAAGGAAGAAAGAAAGAAAAAAAAAAGGAGTGTCCAAATCGATCAACAATCTACACGAGCACCAACATCATCGAAACAAACCCCAGCATTGCCACGCCACACGGTAAGTGTCACAGAATTAACTTGAGACTTGCTAGCAGCCAGTTATTCATTAAACAAGAATGATACAAATGTGAAACAAACGAGAGATAAGTGCTTTTGTTTAGAAAGATAGATAGAAAAGATTGACTTGTGGTGTTGCGAGCAGTGTGCGCCGCGATACGGCCAGATTAATCGATTAATCGAGTATACAAAAAAAGGGGGGGGGGATTTTTGTGGAGTCTAGACAACTTAGATGAAGAATAAATAAATAAAAGGATTGAAGGAATCGATCAGGTACAGGGGTAGTAGGCACAAGAGCGATGGGTTAATGTAGTAAATCGTTACGCTAATAATTAATCAAAAATATCATACGAATTATTACGTACGAGAATACCTCATGCTTTAACCACCGGACAGAGGAAACCCTAGAGACTAATAAAAGCTAGCACAGGCGAGACTCGCATCTTTTATTATTATTTGTACGGATTTCTTTTTTTTTTTTTTTGCATTCGACACTAGAAAATATATCCCGACCTTTCTCCGCATTTTATTGCCGTCCACTGCCCTTCGACTACCCCTTTTTCCAATCCAATTCCATTCTGAAGGGAACATCGAGAAGTACGGAAGAAAAAGAGGGGGTGGATGTCTCCTCGTCGATCATCTCGGATATCCTCCCTTCTCTTTGTATCTTTTCTCTCAACATCTACGTCGTACACTTTACATCCATTTCTAATACGTGTGTCGTTAACGTTGCCATTTTTATCCATTTCAATTTTGACTCATTTTAAAAAATTTTTTTTTTTATTTTTCACGTTGGTTCATGTTTTAGAGAGCCGTACCTTCGCATCTGAACGTTCCAAGTGCGTCAGGTCGTGTGCATCTCTTGGAGAATTCTCTCAGGCCCTGATAAATCATCCTTCTCGTCCTTGCGGTCTTCTCTAAGGTTGGAGTCCATGTTTTAGGTAGTCTTCAGGGTTTCTGTGCTGGATGCTCGAGCTGTCTCGTTCATGGATAGCTTTATACTTCATAAAACAGAGGCTAGATTTTATAAAATTGGCTAAATTAGCATTTTCATGGTTATATATTTTATAGAATCAATGACTTCAATAATTTTAATAAATTAACGAGAGATTTTATATTTGCAAAGTACAGTTAACTCTTTCCAATGTCCTCTTCGATGGTACAAAAGTGTTTCCTGAGAAAATTTAACGCAAGTCTTTTGTTATCATTGAAAAGCAATGATATCTCGAGTTTCGAAGTACAAAGCTATCTACCATCAACGAGACAGTCTCGTTTCATTCCTTTCTTCCTGGTATCCTCTCTTCCTGAAGATGGCACGTGTAAACGATCGCGTGAATCGCGATGAGAGACACGATTTAGAACGAGCTTAAAAATATGTTACGTGGGTGATGGTACACGTGGCATGCAAATAAGGGACATCTACGAAATAGTAGAAGTGTTGAAATAAAGAGCAATGAACCCTTGTGTTAATGAAAATGTTCGTGGTTGCCAAGTTAGAAGAATTTAAGTTGACTGTGAACCAACAAGGAACTTGGTAAAGATTCTACGAGATAATAGAAAAGAAGGTAGCCAGAGAGTGGTACACTGAACAAGACACATCGAAAGAAAAGAAAAATTGCGGATAAACAACTGTTCGAGTGCCGTGTCAATTTCTCGTTTGAAACAGACACCGTTAGACACTCGAAGTGGCTATTGTTTCCAACAATGAGTTTGAAACTGCAATTCGATCTGAAAGAAATAAAAAGAAGCGAAAGCAACAGGGATGAAACAGTGACACAAGGGTGTTTGAAAGAGGAAACGATGCATGCCACGTAATCGAAACGCGAGAATTCGTTCGTTTTTTTCCTTTTGATAAAGTAGAAAACACTTCTTTATTGGTTGACCAGAAAACACATTGATTCACCAGGGGGTTGTTTTTTGACGAACGATAGCAAACTATTGTTGCGCGCGAACGTTTGTTGAAACCTTGACGATGAAAAGAACTGGCACAAAGGTTCCATTGTTTCCTCGATACTGAACTTACGATCTGGGTTAAACTGCATTTATTGCAGTTGTAATTTAACGAAACATGTTCGCGTTCAATTTGGATTAATCTTCGAACTGTGGAGCCTGGGTGAATGATGAATAACCAAATTTAAAGACGAAAGAATTTTGAAAAATTCTGCCAAAATATTTAATTTCTGAATTATTTCAAACATCAAGGTTTCAATGAATCATTGTTCAATTTGCACAGTTTAACTGAAACGTCCTCCTGGAATATTGTATCATTTATATGTCTTTTGATTTTCAGTCGTTTTTCTCTTTGTCCATTAGCTCTCTGTTTCGTATTTCACATTATTCTTATATTCTTCTTTTCTTCATGTTTCTTCGGCTCGTTTCCACGTCTGTATTAGAGTGTTCGTTTTGGTAGAATCGAGTTCCGGAAACGTAGAACGACGCATCACTGTCTCCCAAAGAGAAATCGTGCGAACTTACTGCGATCGTTGTATTTTGTCTCTCAAGATTTACACTCGAAACATGGTGGTCTTGCACGTGAGATTACCGAGAATAATGTTCATGGTTTCGCGGGTTCAAGTAGAAAATGTTCCCGAGCATCAGTCAACGTGCCTTGGAAGTTTCACGAAATGGGAATTGATCGATCGGACTGAAAATCGAATCGAACTGAAGTAAAAACAATGCTGTACAAGAACTGAAAATTATCACAGCTTTTATATAACAAATCAAAGTTTAACACGATAACTTCGATTTGAATTGTTTCACATGAAAATGCATTCATGGAAGCTGAGTCTTGAAACGTAAAAAGTTGAATTCATTTTACTTCTATTCTCAAAACATAGGAACTTTGATAACGAATGTGAATAATTAATGAATAGCACCGTTTTGGAGGAACTTTGAAAATCTTTCAGTTCATCGATGAATTCTGTGTCTATAAATTGAGTATTTTAAATCACACTTTGGCACGTTGACGATGATTACTGAATTTTCGGAATGTCCACTTATATTCTATAAAAGGTAACTTATAATCACTAGAAACTATACCCTGTATCGATGTATGGCGAGATTGGTAATGCGAAATACCATCGTTAAAAGAAAAAAAAAATAAAAAATAAACGCGCAGAGTGAAGTGTAAAATACTCGTATAAAACTCGGTAATTAATCCGGAGGAATGATATCATGGAATGTCGTTAAAATACTTTCCGAGTACCCTGTGGTTCCGATACTATCACTAACCTTACGATCTAAACTAAATTCGTAAAAATACTCTCGAGAAAACGTCAGCGAGAATCTAGATTCTTTTAATAATTTCCGATTCTTTACGCTGAAGCTCCCTGTACAGAGAGAAAATCATTTCTCAAGATTAGGAATCATCGATTCATTGATCTGAGAAGTCTCGTGCCGACCTACCACTGACCGATAGACGTTATCCACGTGGCCGTTTCTTAATCGCGTTATGACACTTTAGTCGCGGAAAGATTCATATAATCGAGGAAAATTGTACTGCGTGAAATTCGAATACTCGAAAGACACCGAGAAGAAAAGCAACGTGAAAATTTTGAAAATTAAGAAAAGATTTTCTACCTACAAATATTAGAAATTAAAAACACAGAATAGAAACAGCAAAATCAGCAAATATACTAATGAAAATATTTCGAAAATATAACATTCGCTACGTAGAAATTTCTTCGAGCGCAATTTCCTCTCATTTCTAGAATTTTCATCCCCTTTTCCGGCGTCAAGTTCACACTAGAACGGGAATAGACCACAGACTGCTCTTTTCTGTCGCGAAAACACAGAACGGAACAAACACTTTTTTCTGATTGTACGTGTACTCGTGTGTGTATATGCGTGTGCGTGTGTATGTAAGATAGACGTGGGATCGGGGCCTGGTGTGAGCACGAGCTCTCCATCGTACAGGTTGAGGAAGACGAGTGAAAAGAGTGAGAGTAAAAAAATAAAAAAAAATAAAAAGTAATAGAGAGAAGAGTAGACAGTAGTATTCGCGAGCTGGTTGAACGACGAGCAATTAGTTGTAGGTAAATAAAGTCTGTACACCCACCTTGGTTCTGCTGAAATCACCGAGAACCCTAAAAAAAATTGTTTGGGCAGAGCGTAAAGGGTTGGTGGTTAAGGGGTCAAAAAAAAAAAAAAATCGAAGCCCTTTTTCGCGTGGACCATCTAAGGGTCAGTGCTAGACCTGTGGTGTAAAACACGTGGAAACGAGACTACATCGGTGTCGTTTTTACGTGAAAACGTACCTTGATTGAATCGAGTCGACGTCTACTTAAATTAATTAATGGAAAATGAATTTTCCAAACTTAAATGTTAGATATTTTTATCGACTCGATTCTATGGCACGAATAGAAAAACGCTCGCTGAAATCAGCGAAATTCGAGAGAAGATAAAAGCGATGAAATAATAAAAAAAAAATAATTGAAAAAAAAAAAAAATATAGAAAAAGAAATGTAAGATAGATCGTTCTCGAGCGAAGAGAACGAGATTTCTATACTCGTGGCTGTCTTTGTCTTTTAGTTTTTGCTTTTTGTTGGCTTGGTCGTGGTGTGTTGGCGGCTGTTGGGAAGAAACAAACGAAAATGTGAACTGTTTTTTTTTTTCCCTCTGTTTGCACAGTGCGCCTCGAGACTGTCTGTCGCGATGCACTCCGTTGATCGTCATCACTGTCGTCGCCTTTTCCTGTGCATCGCCTTCAGGAGAAACCGTGGCAATTCTCACGGATCTCGAAGTAGAGATTCAGCAGTGCCGATTCTGGCACGTCGTGGAAGCACCTACCCTCTGGCCATTGTACGCATACTGAAACATAAAGCACACATTGCACGGTTAGCGGATGGGTTATTCGAAACTTCATCGTACAAGTTTCCAAGCAATTCAACCGCACCGGGTACCGCGAATCGCTTTGAATTTCATCTCGACTCGACGAGTTTTGAAATATTTCAGATTCTTGGAAATCAACGGCACGCAATGGTATGCAGATTTTCATTTTAATTCTCAAGGTAATTATGAAAGCATTTATAGAGAATTTCGTCTTCGTCTTCAAGTACGAGCGAAGGGAGAAAAGAGGAAAAAGCATTTATCGTTTCTGGCGTGAACCTGATCGATTGCCTTTTATTTCAGAGAAAAATTGGAAAGGAATGCTGGTAAGTGGTGAGCAAGTGTGTTTCCTCAAGAAAGCAGATCCTTCATCTAGAATCCTTCGGAAGAGGAATTATCCTTTCGTGCAATAAATTATCCTCGTGTCGATATCGGCTCGATACGGATCCTGCTGCGCGAGATATTCTCCAGGAAAAAGAACGTTTCCTTTTTTTAATTTTCTATTTTTCAAATCAGCAAATCTAATTGATTCTTTTAACAAAGAATACACGGAACAATTCGAAATGCAATTTGAAATAAAAAATAAAACTTTTACCGAAATACTATTCAATCCTCTTTGAATTCTATCAATTTTTGCCGGACCGGTAGAATATGAAAGATTGGTGTACACAAAAAAAAGCAATGGTAGAATTTTTGATGAATTTTCATCGTCGATGAAAACCTGTCGAACAACCGTTCCTAGTAAGCAATGGAAGCACAAGGTTCGTTCGTTTTTTATTTGAAATTCCATTATCGCAAACGGCGCAATCCGAATTACAAATGCCGGTCGAAATTGCCGATTGAAATACGGACTTTCGTGTAATTTAACCCTTCAGCCTCTGTTTCGAGGATATCGATAAATCTGTTCGATTACGTATTCATGAAAAAGAGCAATCGAAATTTTCTGGAATACTATCTCTTATATTCGTCTTTTTCTATCTGAATGGAAAAATTACACTTTCAAAATGAATTTTCTTACCACTAGAAAACAAGTAAGTGACTAAAAACTCATCAAGGAAATCGAGTCATCCTCGTCGACAACGAAAACAACGCGCTCCATAGAGGACGATAAAAGAAAATTGTTCTTCAAACTTATCTTCTTAGATCGACTTCTCTGCTACACAAAGTTATCCGACCGAACACGGTAGAGTCCAACGAACGGAAACTTTTCAGGCAAACAAAATGACCCGAGCTACTATCCGTCGGAACTTTCTATTGTGAAGAATTCGGCCGACTTTTGGAACAGAGTAAAAGAAATCCTCTTTCGATTCTCTGCCTCCTCTTATCGAAGTATTGTACAATTTCAAGTGTCGACGGTGGCTCGTCACTCGAAAATATTCGCTTTGTAAACGCGTGAAAGTCAGCAAAGAAGGTCTACGAGATACCCGCGGGAACTGTTCCATAAAATCCGCTGGTAATCCATCGCCGGAGGAAAATTAAAAGTTATAGGGCAACGGGGCTCCTCGATGGTTGTTACGTGTGCGACACAGTTGTTGGAAATGATGAGGATCGATGGAAACCCGGGAAAATAGACGAATTATGGTGACCTACATGTCTGTACACTCGAAAGTGATCACGGATAAAATCAAATAAATTACCACGAGTGTAATTATTAATTTAACGCAATTGAAAATATTTTTGATGGAGGGATATTTTTTTAATTAATTCCGAAGACTAATAATTTCGAAAACAATTTTCCTCGTTGCATATTGTAATCCGTTCAACAGAATAGAGGGGGAAAATTTAATTAAATTTAGGCATCGTCTAATTTCTCCGTAATAACGGATAACGTGACCGCAATTTCATCAGCATTATCATCATCAACGGATTACGTATATAATTTTCCAAGAGAGCATGTACAAAATTCAGAGGTGATTTTGAAGTTTTCAAAGAAATTTTCATGGCGTAGTTCTATCAGAAGCATTTTGTAACGCTACTAGTGGCAACAAATCGTCGACCAATCTATTTTACAAAAGCTTTCAGCGCGTGAATTTCAACGAAATTGCTAGCTGTCGTCAGGGGGAAAAAAGAGGGATGAAATTTTCAAGATCCAAGAGTTTCTCAGTTAATCCAGTGGATGCGCGATACAGAAACCGACGTGGAATATTCAGTCTGTCGCCTGTTATCTCTTTGTACGCGTTTTTCTAGCGAACAAAGGGAAAGATATCCTGGAAAACTGGCAAACAGTTAAAAAGACGATTGCGAGTTCTCGTAGGGGATTAGTCGTGAAATGTATGAAATTATGCAATTCCTGCTTAAAACTCTTTCGACTCGTTCAGAAATAAAAATCATGACAGTGAGAGGATTACTTGAAGTCGATTAAAGGATTTCTTTTCACTTGGCTTTTTTCAAATTAGTCCTTGCAAATATTCTGTTGACAATTGCTTCTTGGTAGATTAAAATAACACTGCAATTTTAATACACTGAATATCATAATGAAAATAAACATTTGCAATAATACGTATTGAAATTTGAATTATTAACTCGTGGATGGCGTATCTGGGTCTCGGCTGATCCAATGTATAATTTATAATAGTATAAATTAAAAATATTACACGAACGCATGGATGTTTCAGAGGTAACGCATACCATAGACGCGTCAAGTAGTTGAGATCAATGTTAGCTCCGACGTATGTGGCCACAGGTGTGGTTCTAATCGCGTAATTCGGATACTGGAGTAAATTTCGTCGAACAACAGTGGTCGGGCAAGGAATTACATGGGTTTGCTCTGGGTTACCTCGTCATGTTTACCAAATATGGTTATTATTATTCAGAGAATTACTGACTAATTAATCCCTGCGATTCTGGCTTGATTTTTTATACATTCTAGAGGATAATGCGAGTTTGATTACCAATTAAAGAATCTGTCTATAATTAGAAGCACTTTCGGGTTAGGTAAAACGAGATTTCGAGTTGGGAAACACTTGGCAAGGGATGGCTGTGATTGTTGCATGAGTTTTGATTATTTATAACCACTTCAGGAATTGTGTCTGCTAGTGGGAGCGTCCTGACGAATTGCTTCTCTTCAAAATGATAATGAGAATCTCTATTCACTGTCATGACATTCAATTTCTAAATATATCTCTGTTATTTAGGTTTGCATGAAATTAAAAAAGAAGTAAATTTCTGCTTGCTCGGCAGAAGTCTCGTTAATTTCCGCCAAATATGAGCGTGCATCGTCCACGATAAGTTTACCTCGCAATTGTCCGATCCGATAATCTGGATTAAGCCGTGATTTGAATGGGGTCGAACGATGGCATCGCGGTTAGTTTTAGATTAAAGTCAATTGCTCGGACGATGGAATTAAAGCTTCAACTGTGGAGCAACGAATCGAGTTCCAGCAGCTTTTCATTATCAGTTATCGGCACAAGTTCCATTCAAAAATCAACAACACTTTATCGAAGAAGCTGAATATTATAATATCAAAGAACGACCTCTTTTTACCTTTTCCAAGTAAGCGCCTTCTTAATTAATGATACTAAAACAAACGTCAAGTTCCCTGAAATGGCTGGCGTATATTTAACTAGACAAAAGATAGAGAACGAAGGATGAGAAAATAACTTGACGTTTCGCGATACTCGGAAAGGTAAAATGTGTCAGACTAATAATAACATCGGTGAAATATTACTTAAATTGAAAATTTAGATTTCAGAAATTATTAAAATAAATATACTTTAACTTACCGTTGGGTACCGTCGGTGGTTTTTTCGTCTGCACCCTCGCTGTCGCGTTGTTCACCTGTCAAACGAACAATAAGAGCATTAGAAAAGTTATTTCATCTTCCTTCGAAAGGACACAAATCTTATTTCTATTTATCAATACGGAGATCCGTGTTTGTTTCTGCTTTCCCGTTATCAATGCCGTCCAACTTTCTCAACTTTCTTACCTATTCTTCTAGAAATTCTTCCAATTCGATCGAGAAAAAACTTACGAGAGAAGGTTTTACCGAGTTGAAAAACGAATGATCTGAATTCGACGAAAATATTTCGTTCAAACGGAAGTTTGCCGAAGTTGTTGAAACTCGGACAGCCTTCGACGATGGCGGTGCAAGTTCGTTGTTTACTTTATTTGCCCGGGAAAATATATATTTTTCTATCCAGCTGGAAGGTTGGATATTTCCGGAAACCGTCGAAACAAACGACAATTTTGCAGAGCCACACACGAATCTCGCGATCGATGATGCGTCGATGAATGCGCAACCGGATTCGCAATTTTCCCTCTACGCGTATCTATCGGCCTCTCAATTTTCATTTTCAACGAAATTCTCGCCTACCAAACGAGCGTATCTGACCTGTGCGAATCGAGCATCGATCGACGAATCATCGCGTTAGTTTTGCCAACAAAATCTGTTGCAACTGTGCGTCGTTGCTTCTTTTGATTTCATCTACCAATTTCATTCTAGTTGTTTTTTGTTTAAATTTAAATTTTCTACAGTGTTCAAAGTAAATATTATGCGACGCACAGCTGCAAGGTTTCACTTGAATTCAGATATTTTTTATTTTCACGCAGAGAGGTCGTCGATTTGAATTTGACAAATTTTCTGTCAAATTTTGGAATCGACCCTCTTTTCCTTCTGAAACCATGTCTAAATTCAAGGAAAATTTCAAGCATTATTTCTCCAAAAATTTGCTCCATATTCTTGGTCGTGAAAGCAGTGTTATAAAACTGACAGAGAATCCTTTGATAAGTTGACAAATATATAATGAATTGATCGCGTTCAAGACCAAGAACAAAAGTATTCGATCGATCCTTTCAATATCCATAATTTTCAATCATAGATTAAATTTTCGGCCACACAGAATCGTAAAAATGAAACATTTTAATTCCATCAAGATATTAAAAGCGATCGATCGATTCGTCGAGCGGGATTCCAGAAAACTGGAGCATTCAGATTAAATCGGTTCATCTAAATCTTGTTTATTTAACTTTGTATTTGAACACACAAAGCATTCAAAAGCTCCAATTTTCTGTGTAATTATAAAAAGAAATCAAGAGACTGTTACCGTCGATCTCCGATTATTTCAACCTCGCACAAGCACTTTCGTAGCCAATGAAAAAAAAAGAAAGAAAAAAAATCTCGATGGTTCTTTTCATCAGTTGGTTATTTCTTACCGTACACTTGATTCTTCAGCTCCTTTTCATTCTCCTTTGCCTTTGTTAGTGCAAATGAAAATAATAAAAGTCACCCGGAGTCTTTTCTATCCACCGCAATTACTTGCCACCTGTGTCTATCTTTTGCAATTTCTAATTTTCAAAATATTATTATTGATCGCTTAATCGTTGAGCAAAAGCTCGTGGTTAATTTATAGAAAAATAAATAAAAAAATACTTTGATCGGTGCGAATTTACGATATCATGATCACTCGGTCAGCTTCTTATTACCGAAGATTTCTTGTCTCTCACGTATAAAATCGTTCAATTTATCGTAGACGCGTTGGACACCTAATTTCTCGGTATAAAACGAAACGCGATCGCTCGTTACGAGAAACGAGGCTCGCTTAATCCGACCATTACTATAAAGCGAGGTTGCGTTGCACCGCCGACGACAAATCCTCGTTGTTGGAAACAAGATCGTAAAATGCAAATTGTTCGATGTATCGACGCAATTGGCCTCCGATTCTCACGACGGAATAGCAAACAAACATTTCAGAGAAATGGCAGTGACTTGGCCATTTGGAAAACGAGATGACTTTGAAAAGTGTCTACGACAAACGCTCGAATGAATCGCTTTGGATCGAAAACAAACACCGTGACGCGTTTTACTGTGACAAGCAGAATTGAATTAAGATTTCCAAGGCCCTGGGGCTATCAAATTAAGTTTAAAATTAACGTTTGATCGTAAGAAAAAAGGCAATGATAAAAGAAATTGCATTCAATGTTTTTACAAAGCGGAGTCCCGGAGCTATAGCTCACCTTAATACAACAATGGTAACGAATAAGAAAATTCAGACGAAAATTTTAACAGAATCGACGAGCGATGTGCGACACACGAACACACGACCGTCTATGTTGACGTTCTGTCGCAGACTACCTGCCATGTTCGCCTACCTGAGCATCAAACAAAGCCACCGTCCATGGATCTCGAAATCTTTGTTTGCTATTCGAGCATCGTATTAATCTTTCTTGTTTCTAGTTTTCCACGTAATCCACGTAAATTGTTTTGAAAATACACTGCCTGAACGCAACTGAGTTTCATTGTTCCCTCTCCCGAATCGATTATTTATTTAATCTCGCCGATTATTCGTATAATCTTTGTACGCGAGAATGGTTTGCGCAAAGCTTCTTTGTTTAAAAAATTATGCACGCATGCGGAAAATATATAAATTTATTTTGTATTATTCGATTAATACGTTTAACGATAAACGCATTAGCTTTGATAAAATATATATATTTGTAGAATCATGCAATTAATGCGTTCGATGTTAATTAATCAGTGAAACGTTTGATTAAATTTATGTTCCTTGAATAAGTTACAACTTGAAATTGGAATTATTTTGGAAGACAGGTTGATTTGAATGCTCCTCGATTTTCAACACGGTGACTGTCACAAATTGGCGAGATTAAATCCTGGGATCTTAATGGACGTCTCGAGCTACTGCTGCAAGTACAAATACGATTCGATGCAAATTCAAGTTCGCGACGCGATCGTTTTGCAAATTGGAGGGGACGCATAAATTCACTACTGTAAATGCGCCGATTGCTTTTAACAGAAACACTAAAATTTTCACTGATGAAACTCTCGTTCTATGAATTTTTATTTTCTAAGAAATTCAAATCAAAATTACTATGTGAACTCTTTTTTCTTTCATTAATTATTCAATTAGCAATGAACGCGATTTTTTCACTCTTCTAAGATAATTAAATGAATAACGAGGGTGAAGAGGTTTTAAAGCCCAATTATTTTCCATACACGGTCAAGTACGTTCGTGACCCGCACTGACACGAACGATCCACGATTTCCGGCCAATCTGGAGCGTTATCAGCGTATCGCGATCTGAATTGAAATGCAGGAAGTAAGTAAATCTAACCGGTCCCCGGTAAATCGTGGCTTGTTAAGCCCGCTTGGAACGCAGCTCTCTACCATCGATTTTTCGACCTACGCGGTTCCTGCTTGTACATCCCACTGTTAATGCATCAATTGAACCCACCTTATCATACGAACGAAACACTCGTTGTTTTATTACAGGACCACTGTTAACAAGTTTATTTACCGCGCCGGGACAGTTACATTCTAATCGAGTCGTTCGTACAGTCTGCCCTACTCGGAATTTTAACGAGACGACACAGAGAATTCTTATTCGTTAATTTGCATGATGGCTTTATAAAATGATCATTATAATTGTAATTAAAATTACACGATAAAAATCATTTGAAATATTCGAAGCTGTGCCCCTAAAAATCATTAAAAGAAAAATCACCCTCTCTATCAAAGAATTTTCTACGTGGAAGACACGTGCTTGACCGAATTAGCCCCCTAATGAGAGGCTGATCTATCTTCGCGAAGATCACCCTTGAATCGCGTGGCAAGCCAGAAACCATTTCGAACATTTCGTCTAACCTTGCACGAATCTCGGCAACCGGGAAATCTGCATAAATTTGACTTGCTAAATGCTGAAAAGTCGAGCAACCACCACCTGTCGTATACGGCAGCCAGTCAAGTTGCATGAGCTACAAGCAGACAGTCGCGCTACTAGGTCGACTGGTATGGCACTTCCGTCTTTCTGGAATGCCCGAGTTCCGGTCAACGTGCAGTTGCTTTTTGTCCTTCCTCGTTAATCAGTTTCGACCTTCGAGCTGACATTCTAAGCGTTGGCGTTTTCGGAGGAATTAATTCCAAGATCGGATATCGTCGTTAGGCATATTCGATGATCGAACGTTTTTCTGGAGATTGAAATTTTTCAATTTAAATCACGGTTCAATATTTGCAAATTCCTCGGAATATTAATAGGATGAAGATGAAACGGCATTTGGAGATTTAAAAGTGATCTGAAAAAGTTTAGACGTGGATCCAGAAAGGGGTTATCAATTTTCAAGTATTCTCCAGTACCTCCGCTGCTTTTTGCAAGCTCAACGACGTCGTCCATCCACAGGACAAAGATTAATTTTCTCCAGTCCTCTTATCGATATTATTTCCATTGACGGTGACCTGGAATCTTCGTACGAGAATTTTCTTATCTCCTACGTACCTGATTCTTGACGATTAATCTGCCGAACGATTTAATTCCAGACTTTCGTAATCTCTTCCATTTGTCAGAACATCAATGTACACATTTCTCTATCAAGTGTACTCAAGATCTTCCGCGGATCAAATATAATTTTGAAAATTATGGAAAATCAATTCGAACGTTCTTCGCCTGGATATTTGCTCGGAAATCAGCAGCTTTTAAAATCGAGGATGCTTTCGACTCTCCGATGAAATTGTTCCAAATAAAAGAGTCTCATTATGCTCAGCTATCCAGCAATTTCAACAAACCACCCCTCTTCTGCCCTTTCGTTTCTCCTCCTCTATCTTTCTTTGATCCCGGTCAACAATGCTTTCAGCGAGCGTGCAAAATTCAAGCGCTAACGAGGCTGAAAGACCTTCGATAATCGAAGAGTATCGGGACTGCACAGGCGCATGGTAACTATTGCCAGTTTAAACTTCCCGTTTGGACCTTTTAACGGGGTGGGTGAAAACGCGGGGCTCAACCCTCGCGACATCGCCAGATACCCCATTCAACCGGGTCATTATCTTAACG